GCTGGAATACTGCGTCCAGGTCTGGGCTCCCCAGTTCAAGAAAGATGAGGAGCTGCGGGACAGTACAGTGGAGGGCTACGAGGATGATCTCTCCTACAAGGAAAGGCTGAGGGAGCTGGGCTTGTTTAGCCTGGAGAAGCAAAGACTGAGAGGGGATCTTACAAATGCTTATTAGCATCTTAAGGATGGGTGTCAGGAGGATGGGGCCAAACTCTTTTTAGTGGTGCCCAGCAACAGGACAAGGGACAACAGGCACAAACTGAAGCATAGGAAGTTCCAGCTGAATGTGAGGATGAACTGCTTCACTCTGAGGGTGACGGAGCACTGGAACAGGCTGCCCAGAGGGGTTGTGGCATCTCCTTCTCTGGAGATATTCAAAACTCACCTGGACAAGGTCCTGTGCAGCCTACTCTAGGTGAGCCTGTTTTGGCAGGGGGGTTGGACTAGGTGATCTCCAAAGGTCTCTTCCAGCCCATACCACTGTGATTCTGTGAAATACCAACATTCTTACAGCTCAAACTGGACAAAACATAAAATAGGAGGTCCAGCAATGCATGTTAGTTACACATATCTGCTTTACCTATCAATTCAGATATCTCTACAAACTTCAAGCTAGCTATCTCTATAAACTTTTAGGCAAAAAGTAGTTTTAGATGTGGCTTTGCTTGGTCATTAAGTCTTTATATTCCTCACTAGAAGAAAACCCAGATTTGGGCAAGTATAATGAAGCTCCATTCTCATGTCAGTGGTTGAAAGCAAAGACACAGTTTCCTACAAGTTTGCTTACTAGTATCTGTCGAAATTTAACCATAGGCAATATACTCAATTTGACTGAAACACTGACATATGTATTTGTTAATTTCCTCCCTATGAAATTTTTATGAATAATTTCTGAAACATTTGTATTTCTGCTTTTCTAAAGTATTAGTCCACTTTCTTACTATTTATTTACTGTCAGTTTCTAAGCAAGTTACACACCTTAAAAACAACCAGATCCAGGGAAGAATGAAAGTCAAAGAGCTTTAATATGAACTCCAGCTTTCCCCGCCTTTGTGTTGTGGAACTTCAGATAATAGAAGGCTAAATCATAACTGGGGGCACTGGTGAATGAAAAGCTGGACGTGACTCAGCAGTGTGTGCTCGCAGCCCAGGTGGCCAACTGTATCCTCGGTTGCATTAAAAGCAGCGTGGCCAGCAGGGAGAGGGAGGGGATTCTGCCCCTCTGCTCTGCTCTACTGAGACCCCACCTGGAGTCCTGCGTCCAGCTCTGCAGCCCTCAGCACAGCAGAGACACGGACATCTTGGAACGGGTCCAGAGGAGAGCCACAGAGATGATCAGAGGGCTGGAGCACCTCTGCTATGAAAAAAGGCCAAGATAGTCGGGGCTGTTCAGCCTGGAGAAGAGAAGGCTCCAGGAAGACCTTATTGCAGCCTTCCAGTACCTGAAGAGGGCTTATAAAGAAGATGGGGACAGACTTTTTAGCAGGGTCTGCTGTGATAGGACAAAGGGTAATATTTTTACACTAAAAGAGAGTATATTTAGACTGGATATAAGGAAGAAATTTTTTCGATGAGGGTGGTGCAACACTAGAACAGGTTGCCCAGAGAGGTGGTCAATGCCCCATCCCTCGAAACATTCTAGGCCAGGTTGGACGGGGCTCTGAGCAACCTGACTGAGTTGATGACGTCCCTGCTCACTGCAGGGGGGTTGGACTAGATGACCTCTAAAGGTCCCCTCCAACCCAAAACATTCTATGATTCTACAAGAGAAAATTCTGTTTCAAACTTCTACAGGCTATCATCAGCTAGAATGACTATTCGCATTTTAAAAATTATTTTACTTTTAAAGATCAAGTCCATGATGTTAAACCATGAAGTCAATGAGCTCAGAATACCATGGCTGAGCATTGTATTTCTGGAGGCTATGTCTGCACATGCTAGCAAATCCAGTGTAGTGATTTTCAAATATTTTGGTTTCATTGTTTTTAATCTGCAAGTCTTAGTTCAATTATTAACGCTAAATGCTTAGTGCAAGTATTAAATGCTACAGAGAAATGAATTTATAGAAATTTAATATACACTGGATTTATATTTTATTTTGTTAGCTAATTGAGTTGAGATTTGGAAAAAAGAAAAGGGGGAAACTTCTAACATATACACTCAAATCCTGCTGCCTCAGGGAAATCTCATATCTGCATTTTTTTTTAATACAGAAACTAAACAATTAAGAACTTTCTTCCACTGTTTAATGCTTATGGCAGGTCTTCAGCGGGTTTCTTCCTTTTGCTTTCTTGTTTCCTGCAGTTACAAGTTCTGTTTCAGTCATATCGGTCATATTGCACGCTGCTGCATTCAGAGCACACGAACATCAGCTTCCATTCCACATGTACTGGAGAGCATGAATTATTTTATGCATGCTGAACACACAAGTCAAGAGGCTTGAATGAAAGTTTCTTTTTCTTTTTTTTGGTCTTAAACTGCATCAAATCTCTATGAATGCATTTAAGTCCTTAGAAATTCTATTCTTTTGCCAGACAGGTTACTGGAAGACATAATACTTTATAAACATCAACCTAGGGACTTCAATGGAGACTCTCAGGTTACTGTAAGGCTTTTCAATACCCACATTTCCCCGATTTCCTTAATCTGTGGCATTTCTTGAAGAATGCTGTCTTCAAGTAGAAACGCACTTAGAAGTCACTTCCCAACTACTTCCTCTTCTGCAAAGCTACATTCCTGAAATCTGTGTCTTCTACTGCAAGTTTCTTTCTCCACAGCACTACATCAAATACGCACATGATACTTTAATCAGGAATTGAGTATTTCACACTTGCAAAAAGAAATGCACTCTCAGATAAGGCTGCATTGCCTTCAAATGGTGAAGAGTCTACTAAACACTCAGCCTTTATTTGTTTGAATTGCAGCTGATTTGATCTTCAGCAGATGTGGAAAGAGACATTTCCTCAATTCTAGGACGTTTTGACGCTGGGGGATTTTGAAGACTGTCTTCCGATGGTAACGGCCTCTCTGAAACAGGCAGATAGGGAAATTCACTTAAACTAAGTAAATGCAGATTAAGAAAGTAAATTCGTTTCCTGAATTCACAAACAATTCAGCACTCACCAAAACCCTCCCCAACGCTGGTTGGAGAGTCTAGCACCTGAAACAATGATGTGCTGCAAGTACAAAGGTCTTTAAAACCCAGCTGTATGACCTGAAGCACATTACATCCAAGTGAATTTACTCTTCTCGGTTTCAGTGTCAGCTAATACGCCCATTACTATAAAAACTGTAGTGACATACTGTCACATAAGCAGCTGCCCAAGAGCAACTGCAGTGAGAACACGTTACATATTGTCAAATGCACCTTTCAAACACATCAACACCATGAAGAACCTGTAGAATCTGCAAGCAGGTTTAGGTTTGTGCTTGTGTTATAAGCTTATAACTCATAACAGAACTCTATAATGAAAAGTACTGACTGGCAAAAGACTTTGCTGGACATCAACAGACACAAAAGCTTACCATGTTCCTGTTCTGAGGAAGCAGGTGTAGGAACTGTATCTGTACATGCAGAGGCTGGTGTATCTGGCTTCAGTGGAATCAAGCTTACTCTCCTTTAAAAGAGCAGAAACAGTTCAATTGCTTTAAAGCCATCATTTCCACAAATACTTTATTTAAAGATTTACTTCAGACAGAATCAGTTAAATTTAAATGTAGTTTAGATGTATTTTACTTAGATCTTCATCTTAGGAAACAATAAATGCACCAAGTCCCACACCCATGACCGCACACACTGAGGATCTGTCTAGACTTGCACTCTTTACTTCTTGAAGTATTTCTTGTCAGAAGGGTATTTAAATAGTTCTTGTCAGCTGAAGGCTTCAGGTACCATCTTTGTACAGAAAATGACACCTGAAGACAGACACCTGCTGCTGCCTTATCGACAAGGCATAATGGTCAGGTTAACTTTGCTACTGCGTCACATTTCAGATGGGAATACAAAAGCTGTGCGTTCAGGAGACATTTTGACCTTACAAGTTGCAGTACAGCTGGAACAAAAAGTTCCATGTCAAGACAGTTACCACCAAGACACAGGGCTGGGAATTCATGTCTAAACCCCAACCCTTTAAATGTAGCACAAGCACAGTTTCTCTTGGCCTTCGTATTTATGACTGGAAACGGCAATATAAATCTCACCTTGGCGTCTTGCTCCATGCTTGTAAAGTGTTGAGAGTAATCCTTCTGGGCTGGTTTACTTTAGTGCTCTGGCTGGCTGGCTGGCTGATTTTCCTCTCATCTGAGGATGAGACTGGAACATTTTTTATGCCAACAGGTGTGGAAGGCAAGTCCTTACTGGTAGCTGTGGGTGTTCTAGGTTGGAGGGTGGGAGTGCTGGGATCAGTGATCCTGCTGGGAGGAGTCCCCTCTGTCAGCCTAGAGCCCGGTGAAACGACTTTGTGCGACTGGCTCTTTTTCACTTTCTTCTCTGTTGCACCAGGAGTCCTGACATTTATCTGCGGCTTCTCCTTCAGTGGTATTCCCAGCTCATCCTTCTCAAAGGTAACAAATGAACAGTATCCATCCGTGGAAGAAATTGCAAGAAAGGCTCCATCGCTGGACCTATTTGAGATTATTTTTTTTCCATTAAGAGGAAAGGTCAGAACTTTTCTTCACCCCTCACCTCCAATGCACTATACCTGTCTTTTCCTCCTCCCTTCCCCAAGTACATGTATACATTTAAATAAAACTGCGGTCAAGTGTAAGACATCCAATTCAATGAACAGAAGATCTTCAATTCTGGCCTTCACATCCGATTTAATCGTTCTGGTGTTGTCTGTGATCCTCCGTAATATGCTGCTGCCGGCACCTGCACGCATTTGAACTGCCACAAAGTACAGTACAATTGCAGGTACGCAAATATTCAGCCACAGTTTCTGAAATATTGCTGAACTCTCCTCATTCAGACCAGCAGAGCAGCTCAAGCTCTCTGGCTGTGCTCCTCGTGCTAAGTAGAGGCAATGCTCAGAATCACTGTGGTGCTCGCCTGAATGGGGCCTTCGCGCTCATTTCACCAAGTAATGTCTATCACTGATTAAAATCACTTGAATTTCTACTCTCTTACACTCCCCTCCTCCTGGCACACAATGGTTTCCACAGTGTCTGAGCATCAACTATAACTTCTGCAAAAGAGGCCTCCATGTGGTCCTCAGCTTAGGTATACTGGCTAGAAAGCTGTGAGAGAAGAAGCCTTGGCCAGCAGAGGGGTGTATCCTGATTTCAAGAGTTAGGTTTAATTCGCAGCTCCAGTTCTGACTCCCCGCACCAAGTCAGACAAATTACTTAGTCCCGTACATGAAGAACCACCAAGCAGAATTTGACCAGGATACAGACACCGGAACGCAGAGAGATAACTTCCGAAGCCTCCAGATAACTTCATTATTACCAGTTACACTGCCTGGACAACGAGTACTGTTCACAGGCACCCAGTACATTAGCTTTCATAAAAATGGTCATCTGCTTGTCCTCAGAGTGCTTGCACCTTGCTTCCCAACTGATAAAGGAACCATAATTCTCTCGTTTACAGGGGAAAAAAAAGAGGCAGCTTGCCATTCAGACACTGCGATGCCAGTGAACACGAGTGTCATAAATGAAACATAAAAATAAAGCAAGACATAAGATGTGCAGAACTTCAAGATGTCAAAAGTACATTTCCATCACAACAAATCTAAACAATGTAACAATTACCTACCAGGAAAGGTCACTCAGGGTGTGATAGTGTATGTTAGAAACATAACCAAATGGGAAGGACTGCTCAGTATCATAAAAAAGCACAGAATCTTCTGAAGCAACAGCAAACACCAATCGATAGGGCAGATTAAATAGATCAGGAGCTGACTTCTGACTGATTTCACCTTGAACGTAAAGAAACGAACACACTGAGAATTCTCTCTTGTATTTATTGTAAGGTAGTAACTGCACTAGCTTAGTCATGAATCTAAATAAAGATTTCATTATTATTCAGTATCAAGATAACAGCTGAGAAGACAGCACTTCTACAAAGTGTAAAGCTTAATGTCAAGCACTAACATTTCTGTTGCTTGAAGTTTGCCCTCTATTGTCTCAGCTTAAGACAGCGAAATGGGAGGAAGCTTTGTCCATCTGGATTGCTATTATTTTGTTTTGTAAAGTTTGTCATAAAGTTTTCCAACTGAAAATTTTCAGCATATTTATATGCACTTTGGTACAAAAGTCCAAACAAACACACCTTACAATAATAGTGTAAATCAAGGTCACTATAAATTTCTGTAGTATATTTATACATACAGAGTTATATTTTGTATGACTCAGTCAAAAGAATGGATTTATCTCTCTTCGCGTTATCTTGTGCTCAGCTCCTAGCTAGTCTTTTCATTGCAACATTAATTCTTTGCAAGGCCAAATTATTCCCACTTCCACTGGAAGCTGAGTGCTAGCTAGCTGCTTTCAACAGTTCCTAGTATACAGAGCTCAGTTCTACGATGATTATGGAAACTATGCACTAAAACCGAAAGGCCATTAACATTCACATAATGTAAGGTACTTGCATCTAGAGATTTCTAGACTACCACAGATCTTCACTTTTCTGGGTGTATGCTGCAGAAACTAAACACTCTGTTTAGAGGAGCTGCAGAGACCAGCAGCAGACACTCGTTTCATTACTTTGCTACACACCATTACAATGGATATAAAGATTATGATGAAAATACAGAACACTACAGGTAATCGCTAAATCCTGTAAAGAATACCACAAATTGACCTTCTTTGCTCTGCCTTTTCACCAGAGGAAGACCGGTCTTATCAAAATGTAAACACTCCTGCACCCACCGGGCTCACAATAATGCTGAATTTCAGTCTCTCGTGCAACTTCATACAATCCTTTCCCCACCACAGAACTCCTGTTCTGGCCAGTAACACCAGCACTGCCTCAGGTTCAGCTTCCTTGAATAAGCAGCAATGGTTGCTGCAAACTACACCAACTCTCTGGTGCTTCTGTGATGTGGGTAGTTGAGATTAACAGAAAATATTTCACTGAGTCGCACCTTTAGTGCTAGGCCAAGTTATCTGCTTTTACTCACAAAAAGGTTAATAGCTAAAAGAAAAATATTAAAGTGTTTCTGTAGCCTAAGAGGCCAAGTAAGATCATTTATCCACCATATCAAAAGCTATTCACAAGGTACTTAAGGTGAATTCAGGGTCTTAGAATGAGGAAATGGCTTCTAAGATGTGGTACAACGTTATCTTAACAGAATGTTAAAAGGCTAGGGCATAAAATAGTAAACAGCCACATTGACCTTTTCACATATTTGCTGTAAAATCACACTCCCTGAAGGATTTACAGTACCTTTATTAAACGTTCGTCTCAACTCAAAGTAGACTGGGCAGCAGCGAACAGCAAGAGTTGCCTTTCCAGGACATGGCAGATGACCCACGGGCCTTTTATAAAGAATCAGTACTTCAGAAAACAGCATTTTTAATTTTTTTTTTAAATAAGATGATATTTTGATCTTATTAAACTCTACCTTTTAAGATTGTTTCTGGAGAAAACATATGTGGTATTTGTTACATTTTCTCCTGATTCAACACAGCCAGCTGTGAAAATAAAGGTTCAAACATTACTCATCAACTCAAAAAGGTACTGACTACACACTTTATGTCCATAAACATTCTGCTTCTTAGGCTTGTCAGATGGGCAAGAGCTGTGCAAGCTGAACACAACTTAAAAAGGCATCCCAAGTATTTATTTAATGTTGGTTTTGTTTCCCTTATATACTTCCCCCTCAAAGCTTCTTTTTGATGTTGCCAGACACCTATAAAAGTGGTGCTTATATGGGCAAACTGATCCCCTCCTTGCAATGTTATTTTTACTATGACTGCAGAATGTTCTTATGAAAGGATACCAAGAGAGACCAGTCAAAAGAAACCACTCGTTATTCTTCATTTCTGTTTTAACAGAGCTGTAATGTTGCAATTTACATGTTTCAGTTCAGAAAAATGCCATAAATATAATTTTTATCACAGAAGAAAGTTGATGTTCTGGACTGCTAACGGAAGAGTATTGTGGAGTCTGTATTTTCTTCAACAGAAAGAGTAAGGAATGGCATAATTAAGATAAATAAGCATCCTCTAGCAGTTTGAAAGCAATCCTGATGTACATTCAAACTACAGCATAATAGACACAATGTGAGTTATGGTACACACATTCTCACTTACCTGGAGTCAGTAAATAGGAGCCATCAGGAGTAAAACTGAGCCTGCGGAAAAATGACTTCATGCTGTCATCATGAAACATCCGATAGCTCCTTGCCTGTAACATTGAAAATATGATTGCGCAAAGTGCCATGAACATAACAGCTGAAATCCAAGTGAGAAAAAAACATTCAGTTGTACAATCCAACCTGATGGAACTTTTAAAATAAAAGATAAATGTTTTAAAAACCATGGCTCCTTCAAACTCACTTTCTGCTGTGCTATAAATTCTTTACAGCTAAGAAAAACAGTCCTTGATCCCTCTTCAACCACTAATCAAAACACTCCAAGAGCATTCACATTAGACCAGTAATCAAAAAATAGTAATAAACTGGAGAATAACATCATTCAACAGTCAATGTAAAAGCCTGTACCTTAGGCATTTAATTTCAACTCTAGTATTAGAGGTTTAAGGAGAACTTCTATGATGGCAAAACGCCCTCTCTCAGGCCTGTTCTTTAGTCTCTGTAACTGTTACAGATGTTTTCACAAAAACAGAAAAGCAATAGAAGGGATTAAAAACGTTATAGCCGGCTTGGAGGTGTTATTTTACCATCACTTAGAACTGTTTCGGGGGAAAAGAGCTCTTTGTTTTCCCTCTTAGGGTTAGAGAGAATTTCCTAAATTTTCCCCAATTCATTATTTCTTAAAAGTCAGATGATTTTTTTGAAAATTTCAGGCTGCTGACTTTAAAATATTATTGCTATGTCATAACCATTAATAAACTTACAGCTACTGACAGACATTTTCGAAGCTTTTCCTGTTAAGAACTCACTACGCATACTATTTTTTCCACACTATTTTTAACATTTACAACCAAAGACAACGTGTTACTACATTAATCAGCTGAACTTGCAGAAGACATCAATAGCAGCAGGCAGTGTTCTTAGCCATTTCCGTAATGTTCGAGGAAACCTGAAGTGGTCTCTATTTACAAAATGAAAAGGTGAATCTGATCTACAAATTACTTGAAAATACTTGCCCCTCTGGTTTCACAGAATAGAACAACTCATGGCACCCAGCACATTCTTCAGTACCATTAGTAGCAGAACAACGTACCTCTCCTTCAGCTCCTGATCCAGATGGCATCTTGGTAACATTGAAAGCTACACGCTTGGTTTGCGTGTTGTACACCCGCAGGACCCTACGTGGTGGAGAGCACAGTTAGTTGTGAACAGCCTCCTCTCACCCCAAGTTTCACACAGCACTACAGCACCTCACTTCTCAGTCAGGACTGCCAAATGCAAATGACCATCACACATTAATTATAACTCTGTTCATGAGACACCATCGGGTGTACATGTTTTGATGGCTAAATAACCAATGAATCACTGACAATTATTTGACTCAATAAGGTTTGTCAAGTACCAGTATAAGCATTCGTGGTGCAATGAGGGAATTAGTGGACTGTGAACGGCCATGCCATTCCTACCTGTGTCGCAGAAGCCAGTATGTTCCTGTGGAGTGGGAACTCCCCTCAATTAGCTACATCTCTATGCTTCAGTTTCCTTTGGAATAAATGAAAACTGGGGTATGTCTCTGTGCAGAATCCTGGAACACCCCTGACTTCATCTCATTAAAACAGCAGGTAGCCTAAGCAAACCCAACTGCTCGTCCCACCACCCTGTCTTTTCTGCCAGCTCTGACCTTCACTGAGTTAAGTTGGTTTGTTAGGCTGGCAGAAAACCAACGTAACAAAAACCAGATAGCTTTCTGCTGATTTAGTGTGCTGAAACAGCTCCACAAAGAGTCCTGGACAGAGCTAGCAAAGAGAAAACAGAAGGCCAGGCTGTGGCAGACAGCTAGAGACAGTTGTGGAACTACTGGCTCTGGATGTCACACAGCTAAGCTGGTCTGCCGAAAGGTGGAAGAGGTCTCCGCACCTTGGGCTGATGAGTGCCCAATCCTGGCAACTGGCCCAGCTCCTGTTAGACTCCCGCAGAGCTGATGATAGTTGCTAACCTTGCAGAAAAGTGTCTGAAACCTGAGGGGGTGTGAGATTTCCCCTCTTCAGATTAGTTCAGGACCTTGCTTGCAACTTCAAGAAAAACTTGTGCATCATTCTATTACTTGTGTTTCACGTCTGTTCATTTTAATAAAGGCACACAAATCTCACATAACAGATTATCAGAAGGCAGAGGCTCATAATGACCTAGTTGCCATTAACTTACCATTTCTCTATTGCAAATCTTAAATCAAAAATACTTTTCCACTATTACAGCAATTTTCCTTGCAGCGGGTACCAGATGACGTGCATTTATTAGCCAGCTGCGAACCCTTCAGAGCAGCACACATGCCCTGAACAGTTTAAGCTCAACTCAAAGTTCTGACAAGGGCCAGGTTTATGAAGTGTGTGTTTTGCTTTCCCAATGACATCACTTACGAAACTGTTGGTGATGGAGGGAGCGAGAGGGCAAAAGAAAGATACCAGTGGAAAAACATTTTAACTGATTTCTCAACCTGTTTATATCTTTCTGTAGAACGACAAGGATGAACTTGTTAGTTCTTTAACAAACTGAGAATGTAGCACTCTCTTAAGATGTATTTAGTATCTCTAATGACCAATACCATGAAAACTTATTTCCTGAAGAAAAATTTCTACACAAGTTTACGTAAACTTATTTGCTCCTTAGAGAGGACGCTCAGACTTCAGGAATCATTTACCACAAGCTAAAGATTAACTAAAGTATCATTTTTATTTCGCATTGATCTTCTTACAGAAAAACCTGAATAAAATTAAAACAGAAGTCACATTTATCCCACACATTTGCTTTTAATTCATCCTCAAGCGAGAAAGAACACTAAGGCAAAACGCTTAGATCAATAGCTCACCTATCACAACTCAGAGTCGCAATGTACTGGCCTAGCGGATCCCAGGTTATTCCTTGGACATAACTCTTGTGTTCATTTAATATTGAAACCTTCTGTCCTGAAATTACAAACAGTTTCCAGATTCTGAATTCAAATGTGTTTTTTAAAACATTTCTTTATTTCAGAAAAAAACAAGACAAAATGTTTCAAAATCATTTTTTAAACAAACTGTTAGCTTGATGGTACCTGGTAAGAATATCGGAAATAGTTGCTTTATTTCTACAGTCTTCACAAGTACAGTAAATTGTGACATGCCAATTTAAGGCTTGCTTCCTACAAACTAACTCAGGTGAGCAGCTTGGCTTTGGCATTCAACACACAAGATAAGTTTATTTCAAAACCAAAAGTATTTCAAAACCTCTGCGATTTAGAAAATTTGTTTCAGGCAAGTCTAGCCGTTCAACAGCTAACTGAATTTGGCTGAATACCGAGTCAGAAATTCCAGCATCAAAACACAACTTTCAGCTGGGGCTAGATAGCCAGGCTCTCCTATCTAGGGCTGTATAAACTCAGATACTCTGCTAAGCAGGCGGTCAACAAAAATACACTACGCATATGCTGACCTACGCTTACACATACGCAGCTTTCAGCAACAATTCTACAGCAGTGCTAACTCACCTTCTTCCACAGCTTACTCTGTCATGAAGATGTCTCAAAGCCATCAACTCCCTGACCCCAATGATGTTCCACAGTTGAATGTGTCTGATCCAAACCATTGTCATGAGGTAAAGTTACAGATCGTCTCATTAAATACTTTGCTTTGAATACTAGGGACAGAGGGTTTTTTTTTCTATTAGTACAGTGTTGCTCTGTTGCAAAGAAATGCTATAAGCTGACAAGTTTCAAAGACAACAGCTCTTCAAAAAGATTACACAAACAGGGTTGAGGCCATGCTGCATAATACCACAAGTCCTTGTGTAGCAGTGTTCTGTCTCAGACCATGGCCAACAACAGATGCCAAAGAACAGAGCAAACACATAACGGTATTTCTACAGGATACCCTACAAGCTGTCAACAGTTTGTACCTCAAACACTTCTTAAGCCAGTGATGTTCTCTTTGTACTAAACAGTCTGATATATTTTTACTATTAATTTTCTTCCAGACTTCTTTTTAAAAAAAACTATGCAGTCTTTTAACCTGGGTATTACTGGAAGCTATCCTTGAAACTCTTTCCTTCAATGTACCTACAACTTCAATCACAAAGCCTTCGTTTTCCTATAATGGCTTCTTAACGTACAACTTACTACTTGTCTCTCTGCCTAGAAGACACAAAATGCCCTCCGTGACACTAACTGCATGCTAAAGAAGGCAGTGCAAATGGAAGACATTACATGTAAGTAACATATCAGCTGAAGAGGCCACCCACCTAACAGATATGTCCCTTTAAAGTTGTTACAAGCAGTCCGAGATGCAAGAGACATTTGGTCACAATGCCCCTACACATACTTACGCTCTGAGCACACACACTCTTAACTGAACATTCATGTATTTACGGTGAAGACTTTTGGAAAGGAGTGTATGTGACAGTTTGGACGGGAGAGACATTAAGCACCCAAACCAAGAACACAAAACACATCAGCAGTAGAACATTCATATTTTCAAGTGTGCGTGCACTGAAAAATTAACCTGGATTCTACTTTATTTTTTTTCTTAATCAGACACTAAATACTAGAATTGTGAGATAAAAGGTTAACTTTAAAAAAAAATAAGTATTTCCACATTAAATTAAAAGTGAAATTAACTATTACATTGCTAATAAGAAAACATGGAGCCATTGTAAAGCAACCTAAGCTAGCTGGTTACTACCAGAACTTCTATAGATGGGCCTTTCTTGGAGAATACAAGCAATCTCAGTGCAGTGGGATGAGCATGAACAGAAGTGTTTTGCTGAATGGAGCCTAAAAAAAAAAAAAAAGTCACATCTTGCAAAACAGAGCCGGCATCCCATACTCACTTCCCATGTTTTACCTAGGTAGTTAAGTTACCTGATACCAGTCCAGTTTTATTTGTTTCTTTGTTGGGGTGTGGGGCAGAGCAAGTAATATACAAGCACAGTGTATATATTACAATGCGTAGGAGTCTGGGGGGAAGGATATGTAGGATATTACACTCTGTAGTAGTCTGGGGGGGGAAAAAAAACATTGGGTGAATTTTACTTACTAAATACTCCAAGGTGAAGAGATTACTTACGTGTAAATTTTGCTGGCCTGAGGATACCTCTATATGTTGGGCTATCTGCCTCACAATCCCAGAACTCTAGCAATTAAGTGGACTATTCTCTCACAAAAAAAAAAAGATGCTTTCAACTCTTTTGATAAATACCATGAGACACTTCCATCAGGACTAAGTCACAAGTGATAAACATAGCATTTACCTTTATTGACATCCCACATTATAGCTGTGTTATCTACAGAAGCAGATGCCATGTAATTTCCATCTGAGGTCCAACAAATATCATATACATCTTCTAAGTGGCCCCTAAAAGGCAGAAGAGAATAAACCAATTATTAATTTAAAAATTAACAGCTACATGTAAAAATGAGTTTTGTACATTTTTAGGTTAAAAAAACCAGAGACAAAATATCATTGAAGTGAAATAAACAATATGACTTACAGCTTTTGAAAAAACTTCCATATTCCGAAGGCAGTAGAACATTTTAAAATAGCACATGCTACTTCTACTCAAAATAAGCCTCCCTTTTCAACACTTTTTTCACAGACAACTAAAGCACTGAATTTGAAGGAATTTACAAATTTACACCTAGAGCTCTGCAAATGCAAGTTTCTAGAATTTGTACAAGCAGAAAATAGAACGCTACACCAAAGTAATTAAGAAGTGTCACTATTCAAGAAAACTTTCCTGCATAATTATGGGTTTCATAAAAGCAGTACAAACATGCATACTCAGCAGAACCACATGAAACAGAAAATTAAGGTTGATTTAGATATAGTTGAACAAACTTTGAAAGATATTCAGAACCACCTAGAAGGGCTCCATCAAAACCAATCTGTATTCCTTGTAGTTTGAAGACTTCTTACCTAGTGTGGTAATTTTAACAATAAGTATTTGCAACACAAAAGTTTATGGAAGCAGAACTGGGTTAGTTTGTTTGCTCGCTTTAAGAGATTAACTCCAATGCTCTAAAGGATCATGCTGGTGCTTCGTGCAACCCCACTAGCACTTTTGAAACTGTTCTGACATAAAACTCAGCAGTTGAAAGGAATGTATCAGTTATCAATAGCAAAGTTATTTACTTTTTGTAAACAAGTGTACATTCTTAATGATTTGATCTGTAGAGATAGATAGAGACCAAAACTTTTAACAGATACTACATAGAAAGCAAGGCAGAGTTATACATATTGCTCATCCAAAATGCATTTCAGAGTCCAGAACCACTCATTTCTTTCAGTCTTCAGCTGAAAGCGAGAACACAACACTGCTGTAGTCTAACTGCCAGCCATGGTTTGATGCCTTAGCCACTATTAGCTAATACTTACTTTGTCTTAGCAGGCACGGTGTGTATACTTTAGTAACCACTATACACTTGAAACAAATGCTGTACAGTAATTTTCAACTATTAAAATGAACTCGTTGAAAAAGACTGGTCGAGCTTCACTGCTATCATCTGGCAAAATTGCGTGAATCATTTAATATACTGATGCTTTTTGCCTTAATAATGATGAACATTTCCACTATAAAGCTAGTAAATAAAACTTCACATTTACTTTATATATCTCTGTGCTAACCTCTAAGTGGCTGCAAATCTCAGGAACCAACTTCAGAGCACATCAGTTATGTCACATAAATGCCAAATCTTCTGCCTTAAGAGAAGATTTAGGTTGGCACTGGTTCAAAAAAATGTTAAGACAATGAAAAGATGAATATTAAGATTTTAGACAGCACTGAAGTTCAACATACACTGAACAGAAGACTGTATCAGATGATAAAAGCCACTGGGGAATCAAAAACACTGAACAGAAAACACTCACAAAATATTAAGCTACCTTAAAGTTTTAACAACTGTCCAGTTCTCCTTGTTGAGCTGAGCTTCATCTTCATCCTGAAAAACCAATGGTTCCGATTCCTTGCTATCATTCAGCTTCCACAATAAAATAACAGCATCTGTAGAAGAAATCATATGAAGCCTCTTTCATTCCCACCCACTGTTTTCTTAATGCATTACATTTAGTTCAACATTACAATTCTCTCATGTAAGACACAGAAAAGCAGTTCTTATTCTGTGGTGGGGAAGAGTAGGTGCTAGACTGCTTTAGCTTCCAGTGTAAGCTACCGATCTTAATCAATGTATTTTTTTATTATTATTTAATTATCTACTAAAAAAATTAATTAAGATTTCCAGGTGTAAGATGTCAGTTAAGTGCTTAGCTTTCAATCTGCTTTTGATCAGAGCTGGCTACGGTTCTGCACTTCGTTCTTTTGAAAAATCTTCCACTAAGGTAACACTCGTCTGTCTTGGAGAGCACACACCTATCTAATGCTGTTCATACTGTGACTGAAGAACCCTCGTGGCGCTGGACAGACAAGCCTAAATTTACAAATTCTGCCACAGTATGATGCTAAGTAATCCATTCAACCTCTCCATCTGGGAAATGGGGATGTGTATCTGGAAAACAGAGTCTCTCAGACACACAGCCAGTGAGAAGTTATTTAGGGACTGCATGACATGCATTTACTAATTATAATTTGAGTGCATCTTGAGTCTAAACCTGACAGTGTTAGCGGCATCTGAACAAGTTCCTGTATTGGGTTTGGGTTTTTTCCCCCTTCACTCACCAGATGCATGAACATAGCTTCTTTATATTAGCTTCATTACGCATTATTACTCACCGTCTCCTCCAGATGCTAGGATCTCACCACTTGGAGAGAAGCGCACAACATTTACTGCTTTGGTATGGCGGGCAAGGTTGGACAAGAATTCCACAATTGCTTTTCCATCTGGTCCTTTTTCCACTTTCCATATCTAGTTATGAAAGCATTACAGTCAGTTTTCAGGAACAAGATGTAATATATATGCGCCACTTCAGTAAGCCAGCATTTACTCCTTGGGCAGTCACTCTGAATTTCTTATCTGAAACTTTCAGAGCTAAAGCTGTAGTGGCACCACAAGTTTTCCTTCTATCGGCTACAGCTGTGTCCTGGGGTTATGTGGCAAAGTTTTGGTAGCTGAGGCAGGGGGAAGTCTTCAGGGCTGGCTTCTGTGAGAAGATACCAAGAGCTGCCCCCATGTTGGACAGAGTCAGTTCTAGCCGGCTCCAAGACTGTCCTGCCGCTGGCGCCTCTGTGATAACATATTTAAGAAAGGGTAGAAAACACTGCATGGCAGCTGTGAGAAAAGACTAAGAAAAATGTGAGAAACAGCCCTGCAGACACTAAGGTCAGTGAAGAAGGTGGCAAGAACGTGCTCCAGTCGACGAAGCATAGATTCCCCCACAGCCCATGTTGAAGGCCACGGTGACACAGGTTGTCCATCTGCAGCCCATGGAGGTCCATGGTGGAGCATATATCCACCCGCAGCCCATGGAGGACCCCACGCTGGAGCAAGTGGATGTGCGTTGAAGAAAGGTGCAGCCTGTGGAGAGCCTGCACTGGAACAGGCTCCTGGAAGGAGCTGTGGCCTGTGAAGAACCACCCAGGCAGGAGCAGGTTTTCTGGTAGGAACTGCAATCCCGTGGGGGACCCCAGCTGGAGCACTCCATTCCTGAACGACTGCACCCCAAGAAAAGGGCCCTCGCTGGAGCAGTTCGTGAAAAGCTGCAGCCTACAGGAAGGACCCAGGTTGGAAAAGTTTGTGAAAGACTGTATCCCATGGGAGGGACCCCATGCTGCATCAGGGGAATAGTGTTGACAAGTAAGAGGTGGCAGAGACAACGTGTGATGAAGTGACTGCAATCCCCATTTCCCGTCCCCCTATGCCGCCTGGGGGAAGGAGGTAGAGAATTCGGGAGTGAAGTTGAGCCCGGGAAGAAGGGAGGGATGTGGGGAAGCTGGTTTTAGTTTTGTTCTTACTTCTCATTATCCTACTCTGTTATTATTATGCAATAAATTCAATTAATTTCCCTAAGTTGAGTCTGTTTTGCCCATGACAGTAATTATTTCTTGTCCCTGTCCTTATCTTGACCTGTGAGCTTTTCCATTGTATTTTCTCCCCATTCCTTTGAGGAAGTGGAGCGATAGAGTGGCTTGGGGGGCACCTGGTGGCCAGCCAAGGTCGACCCACCACAACTTGCAATCATATTGCAGTATATTTTTAGTCTGATGAAATATATTATCGAGTATTTCCAATAAACTAAAAAAAGCCCAACCAAACACATAACATCAACATCTCTTCATTCATCAACAACCTCTAGCTTCAAGGGGATACAATGAACACAATGATTCAATAGTACGGAATGACAATATCTTGTTAACAAATTTATCAACCACATACAGTCGGAAAACAAACCTGATCACTATAGGAGGGAAAAAAACCACAACTATTAGCTCTCTTTGGAAGTCTGATCAAGTTGAAGAGTTTTGCAGCACACCCCAAAGGTCAATGGATTTACCGTTTTCAAACAGATGATTTGAGCCGGAATTAGAATAATTCCAGTTCTCCACTGATCATAACCACAGCATTAAGACAGCTGCAGGATATGGATGCTTTTCCAGCAATGCTGGCTTAAGGAACTCCTGATCCCAGGTGTTCTCTATTTTGCAGGGCATAGGGACGCCACTCCTACTGCTCTACTTGTGAGCCAGTTCAGCCACGAGAGCAACACTGTTACGTCCCGATATTGTGGGACTAAAGCCACAGACAGCTAAATCCCATTAGGTGTTTCAAATAATCTGCTCTTGGATGCAATTCAGTTCAGAAAAAAACCCAAACAAATAAAAAACCCCAACAACCAGGCCTTAATAGGAACATATCAAACAATGAAGCAGCCTGACTAATAACCTCTGTAATTTTGCTGGCTTTCCCTCCTTACACAATAGTCCTCCGAAAGAAGATGTAGCACCAGTATCTTTTACATCAAACAACATCTAAAATTTTCTGGCCCTAAACCACATATATTTATGACATAAATATCTATTCAGTAACCTATACATACAGCCAAATTTCCCTGAAATGCATACATTGTCAGGCAAGAAGTCAATCTGCCAGTGACAGAGGGAAAAGTTCTGGGTGCAGAACTTTTATTGGAGTAAACCCCTAATTTTTAATGGCATTTATCATGCACATATCACAGCAGATACAACTCATAATAATTTGCTAATAAATACATCAAGAAATACTGGCATATTTCATAAAATACTGCATTGAGGATCTTGAGGAACAAATCTAGATCCAATCCAGGCACTCCAAATTGTAAGTACAGATCTGATCTTTATAATTCAAATTCTCCGTTAAAAGAGAACATTTGCCTATTCAGAAGAAAATGCAGCAGTAATACAAAAGAAAACCTTACTCTTTTCCTGTGCCTATTCCACATTTAATGAGACCTTATGACAATATTTTTTACTTCTTCTTCAAATATATCACATGATGGAACCCTGGCAGAACACGAGCAGGCCCTATATGTAATTAAAATGTAAAATTACCATGCAAAGACAGATAAATAGATGGACAGATACATATACACATAGCAGAAACCCTACACAAATTGAGCATTGGAGCTCATTACCGAAGAGCACAAGGAGGATCCCAGTCTGGAACCCTTCTTTATTGCAGGATGAGTTTGAGGAACTGTCTGAAATTGAACGGTATTAGTAGAGATTTTAGTAAACAAACAAAACCAACTTTTTACAGGAAGTAACCAGGCCCAGATACCAAAGTGACTTACAGGAACTCAAACATGAAATGAACAGCCCAGCAGTGACGGGTAACCCAGCCTGTTTCATTCTCAACTCAAAAAAACAGGGGATGCAAATGTCAGTTTTTCAGAAGTGCTCTAATGGTGACCCAAAAAACTCCAACCACTATGTCTACCTTCCATATAGAGGAGCTGTCAAAAGAAAAATAAATAGTCAACATATTTCTCTTTAAAGGAAGTTGTACCTCACTTGTCCACCTACTTTATTTAAAGAGTCGACTATCATGCAGATAAAAAGAATGTGGTTCACCCACCGCACTCCATCTCCCAAAGCTTTCCAACTAGGGGTAAGGCTTTTAGAGAAACCAAGAGATCACTGAATGATGGGGACAGTCTTCATGTGCATTAAGAATCTGGAAGACAGTACACAACTGCCTGATTTTGCAAAGGTGAATCTCACAGCCACATCTTTCAGGGCTTGTGCTATTGAACATTTCCATAAACGACTCTCAAAAGGATGAACAACTGATTAACAAAGTTTGCTGACACCAGCACAAAATCACTTAGGAGAGCTGCATGTAAAGCTGAGTGAGAAGGGCTGTAGAAATACCTCACACTGCTGAGTGACTACTTATAAAACAGCAGAAACAGTTCAGCTTTGATGAACATAGAGAAATTAAGACCACTCGCTTCTCATTAACCCACAAGACTGTGCCCTAAATTAGCAGTTCCCACTCAGGTATATCACCCAGCAGACAATGCAGGTAATTTTCTAAAGAGAACATTTCAACACTCAGCAGCACAACTGAAGGACAGTACGCCAGGGGAACAGTCATTCCGTGTATGGTCTCATACCATGGATAACAAGCCATTTCATGCTCTGCACGTGCTACAAACCCAAAACAAACAGGTTTAAAACTTACACGAACGGTTGTGTCCACACCTGCCGAGGCCAGTCGATTGATCTTCCCATCAGCTCCATGTTGGAAGTCCAAGCTGTAAACAGGCTCCTTATTATGCCACGCTATTTCACAAGTGATGACCTTCATATCTGCTGAAGAAAACAGAGCAGATATCGGATAAATTCTTGTTTCTTACGACTAAGTCAATCAGAGTCAGGGCAGGTTTTGGAAGCGCTGCAGACAGACCCCAGGCAGGATTTCGCTGCAGAAACTGACCGAAGGATGGTTTAAGGAAGCCCGTTTCTGAGCACTAGGACTGATCACGGCTAAAACTGCTGCCTGCGCACCGCACCAGAAGCGCGCTGAAGCCGTGCCTCCCCCGGCAGAACTGCGCGCTGCGGCGGCAGGGCC